GAACAGGCGCGCGGGGTCGGGATCCCGCCGTGCGCCCCTCCGGCCTACGCTTGTTGGGGTGAGCCCCGCGGCCTCCCAGGGTCTGTCGGTCCGGAGGCGGGGCTGCGCTTTGCGCCCTTTCGCGCCCTGCGTGCACAGGCCCAGGGTCGCGGCGCTCCTGCCGGGAGTCTGCGAGCACCAGGGTGAGGGTTCCAGCCCCGCGCCCCCTTGGAGTCTGTCTCTGTATCCTGCGCCGCTGGGCACCCCTGCTCCCCGCGGGAGCTCTGCGCCCGCTCCTGCCTCGCGCACGCAGGTCCCGGGAGACCCCCCCCAGAAGCGGATCGCTGTCCCCCGCCACCACGCGCCCCTCGCACGCCGCTCGCCGACCGCCAGCCGCGGTAATAGCGCGCGTCCCGCCTCGCCTGCTCCATGGGGCCCCTGCGAGGATCCAAAAGGACCAAAGGCCTTGGAAACTATCAACGCTCGTACATGATCCTCGTCGACGCGGAATTCTGCTCCTCAGACTTTACCCGGACAACCCAGAAGCCCCAGGTGCGCGCCGAGCCAGGCGGGGGCGCTCGAGGGCGCGCCTCGTTAGGGACAACATGGGGGGCCCCACAGGCCGGCGCCGGCCCTCCCTGGGGGCTCCGGCTGCGACTCCGGCCCAGGCCTCCCGGGTGTCCCCACGAGCCTTCCCCGCGCCCGGGTGTCTACACCCAACGCCCGGCGAGGGACCACCCCCCCCCCCGAGCCGCCGGTGTCGCTGCGCTCATCCGGACCCGCCCGGGGGTTGCCCGGCGTCCCCCTCACGTCCCGTCGTCTCTGGTCGCGCGCCTGGCACGCCATCCCCCGCCGCGGTCCCCCACCAGGCTGCCTCCGTCGGGTCTCCCGGCAGCCACTGCCGCCCCCTGCAGGCCGCTCTGGGATCGCCGGAGCACGCGCCCGCGGGTCAAGCTCCGGGTGAACCGGCTTTTGCCTTCCCTGGGCCCGTGGATCCCTCTTCCGCCCTGGCCTCCTGGGTGTCCTCTGGGCGGGACAAGCCGTCGCGATCTCACCTTGTCCTCCTGGCCTTTTGGCCGGCGCTGCTCCCCTGAAACCCGCAGGAACGCTGGGGGGGGAGCTGCTCCCCGGGAAGCCGGGCCCGCGTGCGCCCAGCAAGGCCCAGCGATGCCAGTGCGTGCCTCCGTGGTTCTGACGTGCCAACACAGCCCGCGCAGTTGTGTTTATTAAATAGTTAAAACCAGCACCTGGCTCTTGATGTCATTTTTGTAAAGTGTATTATGCAGAGTTCACGGTAGCCTAGTGCCTAAGGCATCGGTAACCAAAAGTTAGCTTTCCACTTCTTGGAAAGTTAGTTTCCACTCCTTGGAAAGAAGGTCAGGCAATTTACTTCTGTAGAGACAGTGCCTTGGAAACCCCAGCAGGGGTCGCTGTGAGTTGGAGTAGACAACAGCAGCGAGGTTGGGTTTTTGTTTAATTTTATTCTACAGAGAAAAGGTTTGGGTGGAGGTCCGAGGGCTCTGTGAACTTCGCCTTTTTAACAAGCCTCTGTAATCCTCGAACAGTCCTGCAAGCAGGTGGCTTTTTTCTAATCACAGTGCCTGGGGCGGAGTCACCATCTACGTGGAAGGCTGGGGTTTGAGAGCTGGGCCCCTTGGTCCCAAAGGGTGGGAGAGGACCCCTCGCCAACACCCCCGGAGATCCCAGCTCTGCAGGGCCTCTGAACCCCCAGAACCTTCCGGCTCCACCTGGCACCTCCCTGAGTGGGGAGACAGCACCTCCGTTCCAGGGACCCCCTCCTGGCCTCATCATCAGGGCTCAAGTCCCACCCACCTGCCTGTCCCACCAGGGAGGCAGCCAGAGTGACACGCCCCCTTGGTGCTACCTCTTGAGGCAGGAGGAAGGCTGGGGAAGCCGAAGGTGTCAGAGGAAACAGAAAAGCCACCCTCCTCACTCCTCTCCAACATTCCGCCAGCACAGGCCAGGCCCCCACGCAGCCGGCGCCTGGCCCCAGAGCCCTCACCCCTCCAGACCTTGGGCAGTCAGTGGGTGGAAGAGACACAGGCCAGCTCAAGTCCGAGGAGGCAGGGCCCAGAAGCCCTCAGCCAAGGCCCCGGACCACAGGACGTGCCCCCCCCAGGAGGGACTTCACAGGAGCCGTTCCCCCTGCTGGACAATGCCTACCCCATCAGCCAGGCTGTCACCTGACGGTCGACGCCCTCCTCCCAGTGCAGGGTCTGTGAGGGCCGGGCCTTGTGTCCACCTTGTTCCCTGCTTGGGCCTCAGAGCTCTGAACAGCCTCCGGGTGCAGAGTGGAGAAAGGGAGAGGAGGGAGGAGGGAGGGAGGGAGGAGGCAGCCAGCGGCTCTGCTGTAATTTATTCCTTTCTGTGTGATCCCCATTGACAGCCCACACGGACTACTACTGACTCACTCCCTGTTTTCTTTGCTCTGTCATTGCTGTCCCAGGGCGTCTAAAACCTTTGAAACCCGCCTCTTCACAAACATGGGTTCAGTAAGCCAGTTAACTCATCAGCCCCCAACCCCAAGTGAGTGCCGCCCCTTTTCCCGTCGTAACCCGCGCTTCTGCTCCCCGGTGCCCTTTCTAGGTTTACTCACTTGGTTTTGCTGGAGCACGTCCTTCACTAGCTTCCCAGTTTAGGGATCGCGGGAAGGAAAGGCCCGCAGGGCTGACGCCGTGGCCAGGGACAGGATTCAAGGCTGACAGTCACGGTCGCTGCACAGCAGACACACCGCTCCGCGGCCTCAGACCAGAGCTTTGGGAGCCCGCTGCCCCGGCGTCCTGACGACTCCTCGTCCAGCCACAGTGCAGCCTTTCCTGTGAGTCGCAGCCATGACGCCAGAGGCAGAAGGGACCCCTGGGAGGGAGGGGGCTCAGGGCAGAGGCGTAGGGCAGCTCACACAAGGGCCTGGTGGATGGGACACAGATGGAGCTGACGAGCCCTCCCAGGTGGGACAGAAGGCCAAACCGAGAAAAGGGATGAAGTTAAGAACCCGCTGTCTGAGCCCCACAGAGCACAGAAAACCCTGGGGGCAGCTGAAGGGGCGGCATCCGGTGTGCAGCAGCCCGGCAGGTCCAGGGGACACCCTGCCCACCCCGCTCCCGCCCTCCCTGCACAGGGGGTGTGGGGGAGGTGGGCACGGCTTGAAGGTGTCTTCTGTGGCGACGGGGGGACCGAGGAACACAGTCCACCGAGTGCCATCCCTGAGTGTCGCCGCACATGGGGCGGAGGGAGGACGGGGCACTGGGTGGCCACCTTTAGAGCGAGGGAAGGGCAGAATTCAGCACCTACTGGTCTCCCCTCCATTCAAGAAACACAAACGCCCCCTTCCACAGATGTGGATTTGCCAGTCCAGGCAAAGAAGTTGACAAAATTCCCATTAACTCCTGGGGCAAAGGATGTGGGGCACAGCCCAGCAGACCGGAGACTGGGGGTGTGTGGGGTACAGCTCAGCAGACTGGGGACTGGGGGGGATGTGGGGCACAGCCCAGCAGACTGGGGACTGGGGGGGATGTGGGGCACAGCCCAGCAGACTGGGGACTGGAGGGGATGTGGGGTGCAGCCCAGCAGACCAGGGGGTGTGGGTAATGTGGGGTGCAGCCCAGCAGACCAGGGGCTGGGGGTATATGGGGTACAGCCCAGCAGACCGGGGACTGGGGATATATGGGGTACAGCCCAGCAGACCGGGGACTGGGGGTATGTGGGGTGCAGCCCAGCAGACCAGGGGGTGGGGGTAATGTGGGGTATAGCCCAGCAGACCAGGGGCTGGGGGTATGTGGGGTACAGCCCAACAGACTGGGGACTGGGGGGCATGTGGGGTACAGCCCAGCAGACTGGGGGCTGGGGGGCATGTGGGGTGCACCCCAGCAGACTGGGGACTTAGGGGGGTGCAGCTCAGCAGACTGTGGACTAGAAGGGGGGGATGTGGGGTCCAGCCCAGCGACGGGAAGGGTAGGATGTAGGAGGGTATCAGGAGAGGTGTGGGATGTGTTGGGGGAGGCTGAGGAGGGGGGTGTGGGCGGAGGGGGATATGGGGATGGATGTTGGTGGGGGATGTGTGTGGGGAATGTCAGGGAAGCGTGGGAGGGCTGGGGAGGGAGCTGTGTGGAGAGGGGACCACGGAGGTGCGGGTGGAGGTCAGGAAGGTGCAGGGGGGGAGGGAAGAGGAGAGGTGGGGGGGCATTAGGAAGGCCTGGGGCTTGCCTGGCCCGTGAGTATGTCTGACCCAGGGCGGGTTGGGGGGTTCAGGGTGCCCGACTGTGACTCGGAGCTCACTTCTTGGACTGTTTTCATTTCAAAGGTCGAAAGCAAACGGTCTGTCGCATTCATTTATTGCTTCCATTCAACACTCAAATGAACACAATAAACTCCCTTTAAAAAAGTAAGGCACATGGAAGGCCTTAGGCGCCGGCTCCGAGATGCTTACAATTCCTGTGGCTACGAGACAGGCTACGAGACAGTGTTTCCACCAGAGACTGGAGACTCCAGAGCAGGCCGCAGCCCCCCCCCCCCCCCCCACCCAGGCAGACCCCCGAGGCAGCGCGAGCCGGCCAATCCCACGCTCAACGCTCGTTTGACACCGACACACTGCTGCCGCCACCCCGAGCCGTCCGGCGGCTTCCCCACACGCAGCTTCCCCACACGCGGCTTCCCCACACGCGGCTTCCCCACACGCGGCTTCCCCACACGCACACTCCGGTCCCCGACAGAATTATGGGAAAGGAAAGGGCTAACTGCACGGCTCCCTCTCGAAAGTGAAGATTTGGCAAGTCCGTCGCCGCTGTCCGCCACCTGCTCCTCGTGGAGGCCGGGGTCATACGATGCTGAAGACCATGGACAGGTACTGCTCGTAGGACACCTGGATCCAGCCGTCCTGGTCTGTGTCGTAGCGCCGGAATATGTCTGTCAGTCTCTGCAAGGCAAACATATGTCAGACCCTGGCACTCCCACGGCAGCAGACAGACAGACAGCGTCCTCACTACAAACAGGAGTCAGACCCTGACATTCCCACAACAGACAGACAGCCTGTGGTAGTAAAAATTTGTATGTCAACTTGGCTGGGCCTGGTTGAGTGGCTGGGCAGCTGGTGTAGTTATTCCCCATGATGAGACAAGCGGCAATCAACTCCATGGTGGGACCTACCACAAACAGCTGAGGAGCTGCCTTTGGGATGTGATCTGATTCCTGTACATAAGGAGAAGTCTTGGAGATAGTCTCTAGCTATGGCACACGCTTGGACCCCACATGTAGCCCTGTCATCCTTGTTCAGCAGCCTGCCATGCTCTGCCAACCTTGGAACTAGCGATGGACTTGAATTGATGGCCTGTCGTGTGTTTGGGTAACATCAGGACTGTGCCATTTTATTTGTTGACCCTGGGCTTGTCAGCCTCAGCAGCCAGTAGCTGTCTGAGTGAAGAAAGCCTCTAGCTTCAGTGGGCCGGGAGCAAGAGGCAGAGCTGAAGCCCAAGGTTGAGGGGCTCTCACCCAGACCCTAGAGCCTGGCACTGTGAACTCAGACTTCTAGCCTCCTGAACTATAAGAGAAATAAACTCTTGCTTATTAAGGCCATTCCCTTTGTGGTATATTCTTGTCAGAGTGGCACTAGGGAACCAGAACACAGACAGCATCCTCACTACAAATGGGTGTCAGGCCCTAGCATTCCCACAGCAGACAGACAGACAGACAGCATCTTCACTACAAACAGGAGTCAGACCCTGGCATTCCCGCAGCAGACAGACAGACAGACAGCATCTGCACTACAAACGGGAGTCAGACCCTGGCATTCCCACAGCAGACAGACAGACAGATAGCGTTCTCACTCCAGAGCCACACAGGAGCTGTGCTCAGAACTCCCGCCTCGACTCCCAGACAACACCCACGGGCGGGGGTCCTCAGCCAGGGGTGACCATCTCGGGAGGTCGGGTGGAAAGGGGAAGTGAGGGATCAGCTCAGGAGGTGGGTGTGGGCTGAGGCCTAGCTCGGCTGCAGCCCTGCCCCCGGCCCCCAGAGCGCCCCAGCTCACACCCTCAGAGAGTCTCAAGTGTCCCTGCTCTGGGACGGGATCTGTCCTAAACCATCCTCCCCACCCCATCCACGAGTCCAGTGAGGAGTCCAGTGAAAAGAGACAAGAGGCACCTGCATGCCTACAGCAGGGGCTGCCTCCAGACAGCGGACACTGTCACCCCAAGGATGGCCGAGGACCCAAACCCCCAGAGGACATGGGCACCCACAGCAGGAACAACACAGGACGAGAGGGCACCCAGCACGGGCTGGAGCAAGGCTGGGTGACAGGCCCCCACTCACCCCAGTGCCGATCCCACCTCCAACCTCACTGCCACTGCTGCCGCCGACCCTACCCGACCGGCTAATAACCACACTGCCACCCCGACCGGTAGTCACGGGGCTGCCACCCCCGACACTGCCACTTGCCCTGTCCCCTCTGACCCCGCTGCCAACTGATCCCCAGTGTGTCTCCTCTCCCACCTGCCGGCAGGGCCACCGTGTCGCCCCTCAGTCCACGACTCCCTGAGCCCTGTGGCCCAGCGGGAGCCCTCCACTACCTGTAAGACGATGCACCCTTGAATGAAGTCGTCGAATGCGATCTGCCCGCGGCCCTGCCGGTCGAACTTCCGGATGAGAATGTCATGGAATTGGTCCGAGAGCCGGTACCCTGCAGGAGGAACCGAGGATGGGTGTCAGGAAGCGTAGACTCTCTCCCCCCAGCTGGCTCTCCGCTGAGACAGCTGGTGAGTCCCCACAACTGCAAACAGCAAACGGGCAGGACGTGAGCGTGCAAGGTCAGTAACACACGGCAAGCCCAGGGCGGGCGCCCAAGTGAACGCGTCTGTAACACGGCTGCTCCCAGCACCGCCACCCCGCCCTGAGCAGCGGCCCGGGAGCCGTCACGTGTACATGAACACACGGCTGAGTCCACTGACTGCACCACCATGAGGTCCTGCACCCAAAGAAACCCCAGCCCACGGGGCCAAGTTCAGCTGCTGGGCCCAGCACAGTCACCGTCTCAGAGCCCCTCAACTCCTGACGTCTGGAGTCTGGAGGGGGAAGTGGTGAGCCGTCAGCTGCCAGCTCTGTGTGAACACACATACTCTGAAGAGAAGGTTCAAGTTACCCAAAGTGTGAACTTCCAGAGATGAAGGACAGCTCAGCCCTTCGACACTGGAGACAGAGATGAGCTGGGCAGGTCAAGGCCTGGAGGGCCACCCAGCACGAGAGCAGAGTTACCAAGGCCATTTTCAAAGGACTGAGTCCTGCTGGGACAGGTGGCACACGGCCAGGTCTCACGGCCCTTCGGACACTCATCTGTGCTTCACGGCAGCTGGCAGGGTTGCAGTGACACCCACGGGCCACAGCTTTACAAGGAGGCACCTTCCTGGCCCCTGGCCCTCCTACCATACTCCGTGTGTCACTGGGACGCTCTGACTGATTCAGGAGACAAGTTCCAGGTGCCAAACTATGTTTACGGCTCTGAGTCTTGCTGGGGTCTTTGCAAGGACCGTGCACCTATTGTCCAGGTGAACATCACAGTTAATCATGTACAGCACCCACTAATCTACTGAGGAGTCACACACACACGTGTTCCATTGTGCCTTCCAGAGGGGCCCCCGCTTCCCAACACAGGACTCTGCCCGGGGTCAAAGGGAGCATCAGAACTGTGAACGGCCACCACACACAGACTGACACCCACAGACGGGAGAGGCAGCGTCGTTGCCTCTCCTGGGCCTCACACTAACGTTGGAAAACAAAACAAACAAGTCGGACCAGAAAGATGAATTCAACCACCAAACCAGAAGCGACCCCGAGGCCAGACCCAGGGACGCCCTGCCTGAGCCTCCTCTGGTGGGCCACGCGGCTGAGGCCCTGGTGGGCGCGCCGTCTCCACGGCGAGTGCCGAGGGCTCCCGGCCCCACACACTTCCAAGATGGCTGCTGCCACAGCACGTGACCAACCACCTGGCTGGAAGTCACAGGAGGCACCCCCAAATCAGACACAGCCCGGGCCCCCTAACTCCCCCTCCCAACCACACTCTGGTCCTCACTCCAGTCCCACCCAGTCCAGCACTGGCCCCCGACCACTCACTCCCTGGGGCTGCAAGCCCCTCACCTAGCCCTGCTTTCACCTCTCCCGGGAGGAGATGGCCCAGCCCTATCCTCACGCAAAGGCCCTGTCTCCACTACAACCAAAGTTGCAAGTTGTGCTCCATGCAGGGGCCTACACCGGGGTGAAAGCCCAGCCACACCTCAGAGCCCATGTGCTGTGGAACCCCGGCACCTCGACCGACGTGGTGCACAAGCTCACACGGGAGGGAGCCACGGGCAGGGAGGAACGCGTGAACCACGACAGGAGATGCAAGGACGTCCTGTCTTCATGTCCATTCTACATTACACTGTAACCTCATTTTTTAGTTTTCATAAAAGGCCTTCTAAGCAAAACACTGCCGAGGTTAAACTGGGGGCCTGCAGACCAAAGCACCAAGGAAAACTACCAAGTCAGAACCGGGGTGCACCCACTGAGCATCTGGGGCAAGTTCTGGGTGCTCAGCCTTGCCTCTGCAATACACCCCACACTGGACGGCTGACCCCTGCACAACCCCGGGATCAGCAGTGGGAGACACCGTACTTTGCTCTGAGAGGCACCATGTAAGCACGTGAACTCAGGCACACACTGTTCATGCACCCAGGCCTGGTGCATGTACACGCATGGGCACTCACCTGGGCCTGGCACATGTACACACATATGCACACACTCAGGCCTGACACATGTATACATACGGGCACTACCTGGGCCCGACACGTACACATGTGCACGCACTCGGGCCTGGCACATGCACGCAGATGGGCACACACACAGGCCTGGTGCCTGTGCACATGGAAATGCACACACACATGCCTGGTGCATGTGCATACATAGGTATACACCTGGGCCTGGCATGTACACACACATGTGCACAGACGGTAAGTGTTCACTTGAGAATGGGCAGCGTGTGGTTCCTTTCTGTGAGGCTCAATCCCACTTGTGATCCCTACTGACCTGGAGTGAGAGCCCAGCACTTTCCAAGCCTCCTTCATGGTGTTTCAGCACCTTTTCCGTGTATAAGTAATTGAACTGACTGCCAGCGAGTCGACTCCCACTCACAGTGGCCCTGGAGGACAGAGCACAGCTGCCTCACAGGGAGTCCACGGCTGTCACTGTTACGGAAGCAGACTGCCGGGTCTCTCCCCTGGGGCAGCTGGTTTCAACTGCCGGTCCTCTGGTTGGCAGCCAACCACTTTAACCACTCGCGCACCAGGGCTCCTTAGAAGCAGTCTGCGGTGTGATGAACTATCAAGCCACCCCTCTCACTGACACTGTTTCAAAAGCCACATTCTCAATGCTGCCCGTGACACTCCACTTCAGAAAAGACTAATTAGTCCTGCATAGCCCACATCTCATTTTGGATAAAAGCTACGTGAAAGTTTCCATGCTGAAAATAGCCACAACCTATAGGTGCTGAGTCGATTCCGACTCACAGAGCCCCTAGAGGACAGGGTGGGACTGCCCGAGGGTCTCCCAGGCCGACACCGTGACAGAAGCAGAAGCTGCATCTTTCTCCCTTGGAGCGGCTGGAGGAGCCACGCCTCCACCCTTCTGGTTGGCAGCTGAGCGCTGAACCGCTGCACCACCAGGGCTCGTGAACCGAGTATCGGCCTGTGTGGCATAAAGAGCCCGGGACGGCCTAACGACTCCAAAATGACACGGCTATACAGTCGAGACAACAAATTACCAAAACCTGAGAGGGCCTGCTTGAGCTCATTCTTGTCGATCATCCCGGAGTTGTCCCGGTCGTAGGTGCGGAAAACGTTCTGCCAGTCCGTGATGTACTTCCAGACGCCGGTGAACTCGCCGAAGTTCACGCCGGCCTTGTTCTCACGGTCAAACATGGCTGAAACAGACAGAAGACGGTCAGGGCAGGCCCAGCGCCGAGTCCACCTACGGCAGCGGTCGGTGGGAGGCTGCCCTCCAGCCTGAGCCCTGGGGCATGCCGGCGTGGGGCCACTAGGTGAGTCCTGCATGACAGTTAAACAGGATGCTAGCGACAGCAGAGGACAGTGCACAGCAAAGCCAGTGACAGAACCATAATGGAAAGAAAACCAACACTTCACATGGACACGCTGGCAGAGTGGACACTGCTCCTGGTCCACACCAGAGCAGCGGAGGACACGGAGACAGGGCCAGGCCCAGCGCTGCAGTCTGCCACACTTCAGCCAGAGAGCAGGGCCTACCTCTATCTCATCAGCTCGAGCCTTTTCTTTTTGTTCAAATAAGAGACTTGACTTTAGGGGGGAGAGGAAAAGTAGCCTAAGTCAGGTCCAAATCCAAATTCAAATATGAACGTGCGTGTGAACTCAAAAGACTAACTCAGTGTAAGTTACAGCTCCTGGCCTGGGCTTCCTCCGGGTGCACAGGTGACCTGAGGACTGGCAAAGTGCTCTCAGAGCACGTCACAGTCCAATGAGGGCTCTCACTGGAATCCAAATACCAGTGTCCCTCTAACGGTCAGCCACCACACTGAGGACATGGACTGGTGTCCCCATCGATGCTTCAGGATGCAGGCACTCACAGGACACGAGCACACGCGACACAGGCGCACACGGGACGTGAGCACACAGGACGTGAGAACACACGGGACACAGGAGCACATGGGACATGGAAGCACACTGGATGCGGGAGCACACAGGACGTGGGCACACACGGGATACAGGAAGAAATGGGATGTTAGTACCTGGGACACGGGTGCACATGGAATGCAGGAGCACACAGGGTGCAGGAGAAAATGGGATGTTAATACACGGGACACGGGTGCACATGGAATGCAGGAGCACACAGGACGTGGGCACACATGGGATACAGGAAGAAATGGGATGTTAATACCTGGGACACGGGTGCACACAGGATGCAGGAGAAAATGGGATAGCAGCACACAACACAGGTGCACAGGGGGGTGCGGGAAAAAATGGGACACCAGCCCACGGGACACGGGTACACAGAGGCCATGAGAACGCACAGGTACATGCTGAGCACACAGCAGGGGGAGGGCGGCCACAGGACAGGCAGGGGCTGCAGGACCCACTGTGGCCCTCTGGTCACTCATGCATGTGGCGGTGCTGACGAAGCCACAGGGTTCAGAGTGTCTCCTCCACCAGGGAGGAGAGCAGCAGGGCCCCCTCCAGACCTCACGTCTCTAGTGACCTTCCCGGCATTGAGGGCCGAGCTGCTGTCACTGTCCCAGGCACCAGCTACGACTTTCAGCTTTATCTCGTCCACACAGTTATGAAGAGTCTGCGGGAGCTCTGGTAGCATAGTGCCTAAGGCATCTGACTGCTAACCAAAAAGGCTGGTGGTTCAAACCTACCAGCCTCTTCTCAGAAGGAAGGCTGAGCAATCTACTTGCGTAGTGATACCACCTTGGAAACCCAAGGAGAGGTCGCTATGAGAGGGTCCGACTCGATGGCACACAACAACAACAACAACGTGCTAACAGAGCAGTGAGGCGGGAAGATCACGCAAAGGCGCCCTCCTGCTACCTCACCACCATTTCCAATCCCCTTCACACAGCGCTGGGCTCGCAACAAAAGGGACTCATCAGAAGAAAAAGAATGGGAACTGGGGCAGTGCGCAATCCTTTGGGGACAATACTCTAAGGGACTGTGTCCATCGAGACCAGGCCAAACTAAGGGACCATGGCCATCAGAGCTCAAGCCAAATTAAGGGACTGCAGACATCAGAGAGCAAGCCTAACTAATGGACCACAGCCATCGGAGATCAAGACTCGTTCCCTGTGAGGAGGGAGAACTCCCTGAAGGGAGCTATACGTTTGGAGGCTCAGTGACAAATAAGTTTGCTTACTTTCCAGCAAAGGAAATCTAGACATCAGGGGGGACAGGGGGTCTAATACAGTGAATCTTTCCTAAGACTATGTACCCACAGGCCTACATCTTCTGGATCTGAGTTAATGTTTCCATGCAGCCAAGGAAACCTAAACTGAAAAACCAACATGGCCCCATCCAGCCCAGAAGAAAGAAATGCAAATCCCGTCCAGATGCAGTATCTGCCACTCAGGCCCTGGAATTTGCACATATTGAGTGCAATCACACCCAAGCCCACAAAAGGAACAAGAAAATGAACAAGCTCTCAAGGAAATCAGCCGCCAGGAATGAGCTTCAGCAGGAACAGTGCTCAGATTCAGACCGTCCCCAAGGTCTACACACACCAGAAACTAACAAAAAGCAACGATACATGTAGTACACATAACAAAAATAAAGGTATTTAGTTAAAAATATGATAGTACCATATAAAATAGGAGCTCTGGTAGCATAGAGGCTAAGGCACTTGACTGCTAACCAGATGGCTGGCGGTGCAAACCCATCAGCCACTCCTCGGAAGGAAGATGGGGCAATCTATTTCCGCAGTGATACTGCCTCAGAGACCCAAGGAGGGGTTGCTGTGAGTCGGGTCTGACTTGACGGCACGTAACAACAACAACAACACCATATAAAATACTTGAATAAAAGATACTATCACAAAAATGAGCACACAGTAAGATGAGACTATAAAAAAATAATCAGACAAAACTTTAATTTAGAAATTAAATAGAAGCACATATACAATCTTTAGAATTAAACATTGAAAGGATGGGCTTAACAGTAGATTGAAACTAAGTAAAGACTCACTGGAAGCACATCTACACAGCGAGACAAGAAGAGCTGATGAGTAAAGGCAGGCAGAATTAAAGGGTCCAACATCCATCTAACTGGTGCTCCAGGAAGTCTCAGACACAGAGACAGAAAGCACTATGTCTATCCAATCAGGACGGAGAGAAGGGGACCCGCACGTTTGCCTGCACAGGCCGGACAGCACTGTCCTTACTTACATATGATTGACCTGACAGTCACTGGGTTGAATGGAGTCCACGTACCTGAAAACAAACAACAGGAATGAAACTTGCATAACAGTGGATTCAGAGCACACAGGAAAACTCCCAACCTCTCACACCACAGGCACAATGAGAGGAGGCAATGCACTTCTACCATGAGGACCCTCAGCGGTCCTAACTGGGCTGTCAGCTCCCAGAGCACTGCAGACCCCTGGAGGTGCTGTGGTCACTGTGACCACGGAGGACCCGCAAGCAGCACCTGCAGTCTGGGCCTGGGCCTGCCATGTGCAGGAGTCCCTGCTTATAATGATCTGAATCTGGAGCTCACTCTTGCTCTTACCCAAGAAATGGTTTTGCTATTTCCCTACATCCTGCAGCTGCCAGGAACGCAGTCACCATGTGAGGGCAGAGGACCGCACTTGGTTTGGTAGGAGCCTCACTAAGCTGCACACTATTTCAGGAAATCCTACCACCAGGCACGCTACCGCTCACGGTATGAGTCACCAAACAGCACCCTGGAAAAGTTACACCTCTGTGGCTGCGGCATCACAGAATCGGACAGAGGTACAAGCATCGGGTGACTCTGACGTTTTCCTTCAGTGATTACGCCAAAGCAAGAAAGCATACTGGGAAACACACTATAAAACCATATGCGGAAACTCTTCCTCAGACTGCAGTGCGGCCATGACACTGTGTTCCTGAAAATGGGACTAGGTAGGCTGAGGCGTCTACCGCCCCTCTCAGAACAGTAATGGGGATGGTGGGCAGAGAGTCTGAAAGACTCGAGAAGTGTGCCAGCTACTCAGCTGTGAGGATGGAGCGTTCTCCACCACAGCTCACGTCCAAGAACCAATTCCAAAGCAACCGCACCTTTATTTTTAACACTCATTCAAATACTTTTTTTTAAGTGTGGGGGAAGCAGAGTCCTCTCCCAAACCCACCCCTCATTTGTGTGAAAACACACCCTTGTACATCTATGTACAAAAGCTGTCTCAGGCACGAATCATTCAGTTCCAGGGGCCATAGGGAAATGCTGTGCCTGACTCTGCACGAGGGAACATCATTACACTCACGTTTATGATAAAGCAGCTCCCACGTGGAATGTGGGCAGCAAGAGCGGGTATGCAGGGTGCCCACGTGCCACGCCTCCCTCTGGTCACTCCAGGCCTCACAAGGCTCCATCCCAAGCCACGCTGACTCAGCTTTAACACGCGCTGCTCCTCAACCCCAAGCACGACCCCTCCACAAACACACACCCCCTTCTCCCCAACTCCTACTTCCCAAATCTCAGGTAGACATTCCCCTGGGGATCCCTCAGCCCTCATATTTCTTTGGCCAGTAAGTTCAATCCACGTGCTATTACAGCACACACCCTAACCTCTGTGGGGCACGCCTCCCAGAATTTCTCAGTTAAGGTCTGCTCTCCCCACTAGTGGACAGACTCCATGCTGGCCATGCCCAGCAGAGCCTGGCACACCTGAGTGCACGAAGGCACTTGTGGAATTGAACAGACTGACGGCTCCCAGGAATATCTCTGTGTAGCCTGGGGGAAAGATGGACAGGGGTGTGTACTTACAAGCATTAGGTAAAAGCAGTACTACTGAAAACAAGTATTGTTTCAAAGAAAACAATGCCACAGAAAACCCACATGCAAAGAACGAGAAAACCTCCCAACAACAAACATCCCTTCCTCACCCAGCACGACCTGACCTCCCCGACCCCAAAGGTCCCGTGTCTGTTGGCACAGAGAACACACTCGGCATTTCTCAAGATGAAAGAACTGAGGAAAAAATTTAAGCCTCGAGTTGCAATATTGAGAGATTCTACGGGCAAAATACTGAATGAGGCAGGAAACATCAAAAGAAGATGGAAGGAATACACAGAGTCACTGGACCAAAAAGAACTGGTCGATGTTCATCCATTTCAGGAGGTGGCATATGTTCAAGAACCAATGGTATTGAGGGAAGAGGTCAAAGCTGCACTGAGGGAATTGGCGAAGAACAAGGCTCCAGGAATTGACAGAATGCCCATTGAGATGTTCCAACAAACAGAT